TGCACTATTGGTGGGAATGGAAAATGGTGCAGCTGCTGTGGAAAACAGTATGGCAGTTCCTCAAAAATTTAAAAATAGAATTAACGTATGATCCAGCAATCCCACTGCTGGGTATATACTCAAAAGAATTGAATGTAGGGACTCAAAGAGAAATTCTTACACCTACGTTCACAGCAGCATTATTCACAATAGCCAAAAGGTGGAAGCAAACTAAGTATCCATCACTGGATGAATGGATATGCAAAATAGGGTATAGACATACAACAGAATATTATTCAGCCTTAAAAAGGATGGAAATTCTGACACACGCTCCAACATGGATGAATCTTGAAGACATTAAGCTAAGTAAAATCAGCCAGTCAAAAAAGGACAAATACTTTCTGATTCTATTCATATGAGGTACTTGGAGTTGTCAAATTCAGACACAGAAGGTAGAATGCTGGTTGCCAGGGGCTGGCAGAGGGAGAAATGGGGAATTATTGTTTCATGGGTGCAGAATTTCAGTTCCGAAAGATGAAGACTTTCAGAGATTGGTTATAAAACAATGTGAAGGTACTTAACATGACTGAACTGTACATTTAAAAATGGTTACAATGGCAAATTTTATGTTATGTACATTTTACCACAGTTAAAAATAAAAATTAAAAAGAATCCCATTGTTGTTTTATCATAGCTACATCTTGAGTTTTTGTTTCTACTGAATCGATGCTGAGCCTTTCTATAGCATAAAATACTTGTGAGGTTGAGTTTTCTAGGACTGGGTTTTCTGATAGACCAGATTGGTTGTATGTTTATTTTGGCAAACTGTGTTCCTTTCTTTTCTTTTCTTTACTTAAAAAAATATATATATATTTAATAGAGACAGGGTCTCACTATGTTGCCCAGGCTGGTCTCAAACTCCTGGCCTCAAGTGATCCTCGTGCCCCAGCCTCCCAAAGTTTTGGGATTACAGGTGTGAACCACCGTGCCCAGCCAACAAACTGTGCTCCTCTCTTGCATTCCTCTGCTGCAGCATTTCACAGAGTAGTCATGACACTCACTGCCATCTTGTTCATACCGACAACGTGAGCATCTCTGTCCAGAACTGCTCTTTGCTCTCCTAGAGCAAGCTGATGTATCTTTTGACGTTCTCCTCACTTTATAGGGAACCAGTTGTCATTCTACCTCTGAGCTACAATTTTAGGTTGGCTGCTGCTTTCCATGAACATTTCTGCCATGGAGGAGAGGTAGGAGTCATGAGGCCTGTCTTTGGGAG